CCAGTTGCTTGTCAATGAGTAACTGTTTTTGGCAAGATCTCTAAAAAATTCCATAAAACACTTTGATGCGTTGATGAAGGTTAGGAATCTGTATCTGTTATCACCATGGCTGTAAAATACTTGGCGTTAAGGATAGTGACATATTAATGAAGAAACTAAGCTAAAGAGACCATCCAGTAGCATCTTGTCGAACCGTGTCACGTATGGATGGGAAGATCTCTAGCAAAATCTCATTAAAACACTTTGATACGTCGATGAAGATAAGCCATTCGTTATTACCGTGGCGGTAAAACACGTTAAGGATAGTGGCATATAAATCAAGAAACCGTGTAAATTCGACTTAAATTTTATGAAATCAACCATTTTCGAGGTACGGGTAACATCCAGTAGTATGTTGTTCAACCGTGTCACGTATAGATGGGAAGATATCTAAAAAGATTCCATAAACACGTTGATACCTCGATGGAGGTTAGGCATCCGTTATCACCATGGCTGTACAATACTTAAGGGTTAATGACCCACCCCGAGGTGAATATGGTGTGATAAAGCCTTGTCAGTTGCTATAACCACCGAATTAAGCCACAGAGTGAGCGCAGCGACTACGGAGATCATCCAATAGCACATTGGAGAACCGTTTCACGCATAGATAGAAAGATCTTTAAAAAGCTCCATAAAAACTTCAATACGTCGATGAACGTTAGCCATCCAGGTTATGAGATACCCAGATAACAGTTACTCAAGCAACTGAGGAGATGACAATCACTGACGAATGGTAGTGTATGCTAACTACAAGAAATGTTTGTCCGTTTCTAAAACCTAAAAATCTATCCAGTGGTCGAGTAACTGTTATCTGGGCAAAACGTAGTGGCATGTAAATCAAGAAACAATGTAACTTCATTGAATAGCAATAAAATAAACCCTTATTGCACCATTTGATGAGATCAGCCACGAGGATTTCGAGCTACTCACGGCGATATGTAAATCAGAGACATTATTGCACACCCGTGAAACGGTGATGGAGTAACATGTCATTACATCATCCGTCTGCGTCAAACTCACGACCTTGCTGACGCGTGCGGCTGATCAATCAAATACTGAAATCTATCATAGTCTAGCCCTGTTCCAGGGAGAGCTATGTAGGTTTGCCGGCCGGAGCTTCTATTGCGTGCGATCTACGTTTGATCAGAAAAGACCCCCCCCCAAAAAAAAAAGACCGACCCCGGAACGCCTGAAAAGGAGGCTAATCATAGTCAGTTTGAGCTAGTCTCCACCAGACTTCTTTGCAGGCTGAAGATATAGTAGAAATCGACCTAAAAGGGCTGTAACTGGAAAGGGGAGTTAGTCGGCCATAGGTGCAGGCAAACTGAACCCTCTATGGCCGGCCAACTCCCGATCTCCTGGACAGCTTCATTCTTTTTAGGCCGGTTTCTACTATTTATTCAGCCTACAAAGGAGTCTGGTGGAGACTAAAGTTTGAGCTACGTTTAGCGATATGTAAAACAAGAACTAGATGCATATTTATTGAATAGTAGTAAAATAAAATGCTTGTGTCGTCGTACAACGCTTTAGTCAAACTATACTATCCACCTCAAGGATATTCAGATATGCTAATAATTAATAGCAATAATTAATGCCCAGTCATAAATTGTTAGTTGCTTCATTTGCACTGTGTCTCATGTGAGTTGTACCTAAGCGAGTAACGCCTTGTTCTGTCACTTTACTCATGAATTAAACAACACAATCCTCCAGGAGGATTTTAAGCTACGTTCCGCAATATGTAAATCAGAAATTATCGCACATCAGTTACACAAGATGATAGACTTAAGTTTGCCTGCTTCATGATACCCACTGCGTCACATGTGAGATTCAATTCAATTCAGGCACAATTCTTTATTTCAGGCACACGGCCCATATCAGAACATAAATTTAAAAATACCGACATACAAAGATAAGTATAATCAAGGACATTATATTTACAGAAAGATTAAAATGCAATGTTAGGGAAATTTAATGGGCGGATTGTATAAATACCAGGTTTACGTAGTGTTTCCAGAAGTTGTTGATGGAGAATATGTCAGAGGGAATTACCAGTTTTATGAGACCATTGTACCTAATCTGAGACCATTAAAACTGTAAAATTGAGACCAATGAGAAATGTACCTAATCGACTTGTTTTGCCATGATTATACTCATGAATTAAACAATACAACGCACCACAAGGATTTTGAGCTACGTTCGGCAATATTTAAATCGAAAACTATTGCACATCGATGAAATAGTAATCAACTTCGTTCTCTCTGCGTCACTTGTGACGTGTGCCCTTGCGAGTAGCGCTTTGTCAAACCGTGTCACGTATGGAGGAAACATCTGTCATAAACAGTATGAGCCGAGAGAGCAAATTTAAGTGTTAAGTGCCCAGAGTCATATCTGGCCACAACAGATTTCTAGAGTCGAGAGAGCGAATACATTTAAACATAAAATAAAGTGCCTTTCGGATGGACACAACATAGGGGCCTGCTAAGGATTCGAAGACAGAACCTTTAGATTCGTATTCAAAGTTAAAACGTTTGATCCAAAACAAAGAAATTCTCTCACCAAGAGTTTTCAATCAGCTGAGGAAGACTAGAGTGACTGACCGAAAGCTCTAGGTGAGAGAACTTCTTTGTGTGAGGATATACAGTTGTAACATTAAACATGAAACTACCAATACAGATGAACTTTCATGATAGTAACCTTTAGATTCTGTATATCTAACCAGAACCATAAGCAGAAGAAGGTTAAGATCATTTTGCAACCTGCGCATTAAAAAACACATGTCTCTCCGGACGTGGCTATCGTACGGAGAGACATCCACGTCCATTTGAATCAATCCGAAACTCCAGCAGCCTGTGAACCCGTCCGTCGCCAGCCATCCGTGGCGGGAAGACACTTCCCCGATATTGCGTCCGGTTCAATACCCGTGTCCAATAACCTCCACACCCGACAAGTGCACTAGCTAAGCACATATTGGGTGTGAAGTCTGGGCGTTGAACGCTCCCAGAGGTAATCTAGAAGCATGAGATAGGCTTTAAGTTGTAATCTAGGATCGTGAGATAGGCTCTATGTTGTTTTGTATAGGCGTTATAAGATTATACTTGGTCTTTGTGTAAATTACTGTGTAATGCCTTGACTTTCTATTGCCAGTTTATCAAAGTATTTTTACTCGCAAACTTTATATCTAAGTTTAACGTTAACTCTGACGGATAATTTTAAGATCGTAACATCTAAAAGACGGTGTAATTTAAGACATATACTAATGCAACATGCGTAATCCCCGCGCCCGAGGCATGCACACTTAAAGATAAAATGGTACTTTATGTGGAGGTCTTAGAGTATCTGTATCTGTACAGCAGGTACAATCGTTTATCGTTGTAACAGACCTGCTTCAAAATAATCTGTATCTTTATAAGTATAACCCCCCTTCGGCGTAACACAGCAGCTTCGCAGGCACGCGGCGCGGCGGCAGCTGGCTGCATTACAACGAACGACTTGTCACACCTAGCCTTTTTACATCTAACTGTAGACCTTATTTAAAGCTATCTGGTGATGATGTCCCTACTGTACTTGGTGGCAGTGAGTTCCATTCTACCAGCTTGAATTATGAGTGTTGGCGCTGTCTTGCCAGGTGTAGGATAAAGAAAAGATTATTTATTCATCTCTTCATTTGTCAACTGTGCCTAAGGGGATCTCTGCAAGACTAGAGTTCCAATATATACACATTAATGTATGCAACGGAATTAAATTATCCTGTCACAGATTTCATTTATCAAATGATGTTCTCCCAAAGGGGATTTCCAGTGCTATGGCCAGATATAACATATGCAAACCCGTAGAATATGATTTGATATCACAAGGAGTAAAACTATTTACAGATGTAAATTGGTTAGTTTTATGTCAAAGCTTGTATTGTCAAAGCTTTCACTGCCACACAAAAGTACTCTGCAAGCAGAGGCTTGGGTTTTGGGTTGTTTTTAGGTTTTTTTTATCGGGGTTTCTTTTTTTTTTGCACTGGAAGTTTTTTTCTCCCAACCCAACAAAAATAGTCCTGTGCAAATAAGGAACCCTTAAAAAGCCTAGAATACGCCAAAACTAACCCAAACCTCTGCTTGGGGAGTAACACAAAAAGCACGGTGTCATCAAGAACGCCCTGGATATCTGAAACATGCATCTTTTGGCCACTGCACAAGAATAGCAGCCGGTTGTTAACATTTCACAGCTCAGCTTGTACACCCTGATATATCGTCCCTTGCCGCACATTACAAGTCCGTACAACTACCATATAATGATGTAAACCCGCTTCCCAGCGTATATACTACCAGCCCTTAGGGCCAACCTGCCAGGATACCGATCAGTAAAAGTTGTAAGACTGACGTCTTGTGTATCGATTGGGTTGCTATAGTTGCTGTTTCAGGGCTCGGGGTGGCGGTTAGGGGCGAAGGTTATTACAGGGCGTGTAGAGTGAAGCGTTATCTGCACAGGAAGTAATTATAGGAGGCGGGGAGGTGGATTAGGGTTGTAATAGACCAGGCAAGGCAGCACTTCAACCGTAGAAATCCGGCGGAGTGTACGTATTATGATTGCAATTTGCGTGGTGTTCATTACCAAAGATGTGTATATGTGTGTGTGTGCGTGTATGCATATGCGTGGACGGTGATCAGTACCAAGGACAGGTAACGTATAGCTAAGGCCTAGCTGACGTTAAGTAGCAAGGACAGGTAATGTATATCTATGCGTGGATGGTGTTCAGCACCAAGGACAGGTGTGTTCGTGTGTTGAGTTCAGCACCAAGGACAGATCCATTTGTGTGTGTTGTGAGAATCGTCTGTCCTGTATTTGTTTCTATGTGAGGGACACAACACCAACAACAGCTGCCTTAACACACGTGTATTGTATTGCTACAATTTGAATAAATCAAAATCAAATCAATAAACAATAAAAGAGATATTGTTGTTTTTTTTCAGACAGGAGACGTGGCTGTCGTCCGGAGAGACAGAGAAGGGTAAGACATGTGAGAAGAAGAAAGACTTTGTGTTCGTGAAGGTTCACAAGGCGGGATCCACCACCACAGCCTGTATCTTCCAACGGTTCGGCTACCGACATGGGGCTACGTTTGTCTTACCAAGGTGGCTGCTTTCAGTGTATCCATTTTTATGTAATGACTTAACGTATCTGAAAAACAGATACGCAGATCTGAGGTATACTCTGTTTAAATAAATAATCTTGAAACGTGATTGCATTGCTTCCAATAATCCCCCTGGCCGCACTATTCCCAGAGGAATGCCATACCCTGCCTTGATGGCAATGCCTTCCTCTATAAAAGCATTCCGAGCTAGCTAAGCATGTCTTAGCTGACCTGTCTTAACCTCAAGATCCCCTTTGGTTGTATAAAAGGAATCTCATTCCCAGCTCAGATGTACTATTTCATACAAGACTTACTCACTCACTATCCAGGATTTGATCATTCTGCATGCTGCTGTTGTCTTTGACGCAGGGGTCGGCAGCAGCCGGATCATACAAGAATATTGGAAGCAATCACGTTTCAAGATTACTTATTTAAACAGAATATAATTCAGCTCTGCTTTTCAGACACCCCTGGGCACACACATTTAAAAACACAGTCATGAAAACTACAACACAATATTATACAAATAATGCTTCAAGTACATGTACCATGCGTCGATGAAGGTTAGACATCCAGGTAAAACGATACGCCAACAAGCATTTACTCAAGCAACTGGATACGATTTTGGAAACGGTCAGACGTTTCAGCTAGTATTCACTAGCTTTCGTCAGTGACTGAGAGATCACAGGAAAATTGCAGGTTTATAATCACTAACTATTGATTGATATGCAATATGCAATATACATGTACTGTGTCTTACAGACCCAATCAAGGTGCTCACAGTATATGAACTTAGTCCAATCAGTTATTCCGTTTAACATGTTTTCCCTCTCCCTCGACACAGGAACCACAAGAGCGACATCGGGTGGCCCGACCTGCTGAAGATGGAGGACCTCATTCCCTCGGCAGGGGGCGCTTTTAACATCCTGACGGACCACATCGTGTACGACCGGCGCCTCACCGACCACCTCATGACCCCTCGCGCCGTCTACCTCACCATCTTACGCCATCCTCTCGACCATCTCAAGTCTGTCTTCAACTGGTTCCACTTACCGCACGAGTACCAACTGGAACACTCTCACAACCCCATCGCGACTTTTCTGGAAAATCCGGAGAAGTACCAAGACCCTTACGTCACCAGCCGCCAACACAGGGATCCGTTTTCCCTCACGAAAAACTTCATGTCGTTCGATCTAGGCTACCCCATGGGGCTTACGGACGACCAGACAGCCATTCAAAACTTCATCAACCAGCTAGACAAAGAGATGTTTCTAGTGTTAATCTTAGAACACTACATGGAGTCACTGGTTCTCCTGAAGAGGCTGATGTGTTGGAGAATACAGGATATATTGTACGACCTGAAACCTAAAAACCAGAGACAGTACGCATACAGGACAATGGAGCTACCAGAAAAGTACAAGAAAAAGCACCAACAGTGGAGTAACGTAGATTATGCTTTGTACAATCATTTTAATAAGTCTTTATGGAACAAAATCAGCCAACAAGGGGACGACTTCACAAGAGAGGTTGAACATTTTGATAAGGTTGTTCAGAAAGTATCGTTGTACTGTAGGACAGTGAGCGCTCCTGTACAGGGCATCGCTCCGAACTTGACTTTCCCAAAGTCTTCTTGGGATGACGGATTCACCGTTGATCCCTTCTTCTGCACCAAGCTTAAGATGCTTTGGCAAGACTGGGAGTACGTCTTGAAGAAAACGCACAAGCTGCCGAGCAACGTCTCACAATCCGTCAAGAACACTATTTCTTACCACCCTGTATCAACTCTTACAACAAGAGACCTTTTAAAAATCTTCCAAATCACCGCAGGTCCTGAACTCAAGATAGCAGGGCAAACTAAAGCAGGGTCTTATGTGAAGAGTAGACCCATGATTGTGTACAGGAAACCTGTAAAGCGTTATATACCTAAAGGGATACAGGACGCCAATGTGGTGTATCAAGTAAAGCCGGGTTTCAACCCAAAGTTTCATCATGAAACAAGGTGGAACAACCAGTATATCGTTGTCCACAGGGACAGACCTATTAACCAGAGCCAAGGTACCCCGAAGGAAAACAGGGTTTGATAAACTACACATAGCTAATAAGTCACAAAATGTGATTCAGTGGATAGCAGTGTAATAATGTATCTCTGTTCTAGTAGATCTTAGGACTCAGGTTTGGTATTAGACAATTGTAAAATGTGTCCAAGACACAACGTAAACACGAAATTTCTCTAATTATTAAAGAGCTTTTTGACAAAACACCATCATTGTAACTGCTGCCATGTTGGTGTTTCTATTTGCTGAAACGCACCTCAAATGTTTCAAACATTTAAACTAAATTAAAGATCTGCTGTCCCGCTGAAATATACTGGCAAAAAAACAACATACAGATACCAGAAGAATTCTCATAGATTTGCCAATAAAACACAGAAAGGCTATGTACAAGTTTGGAACAATTGAAATGCAAATAAGGACAGCAGTATTGCAGTCAGTACCTGTCTGCTTTGTTGAGATGGAAAGTGAGTAAAAAAGTTTTTAAGAGATTCTTAACTGTATGTAACACTGATCATGGAAAGGCCATAACTCTTCTTTGTTACAAAAGATTATAAAAGAGTGTAATTGTGAACTTTCCTATTGTAAAGCGTATATTCCATTTGTTCAGATTGAACATAAATGTAAACTTATCTGTTCAAGGCTGGCTTAATGCCAAAAATAAAGGCAAAACAAAGGTGTTTGTGTGGTTTCCTTATATATTTAGTATAAATATAAAAGTACTAGAACACAATACAAACAGCACTTTTCACGTAAGATTTGCCCCGGACTCGCAAACATAAAGTAAATGATGGTATCTCTGTAAGTATTCCACTACAGAATTGAGAACAATAAAGCCAAAAATGGGGTAAAGCTAGGCTGTGTCAGGTAGGTACATGTACAAGAGCCTATGGGTAGAGCTGGAGTGCGTGCCTTCGGGAGGTTGTGAGTTCAAACGCAAGACCTGTTCATAGAAAAGACTTTTGAAATAGTTAAATACTGCTTTCTTCACTCAAAACTTATGAGTAAGTGTTTGGAACTTTAGAAGTTTCCACTACCAGTGGACTAGCCCCCAGCTGTAGAGGCCTTGTGTAGAGTCAAGGGCTACAAAAATGGAAATAGGCGCCAGGTAAAGGATTTCAACTTAAGACAGGAGCCAAGGATTGGCATAAATAGTGTCATCCCATGTTAGAGTCGTCGTTCTCCGCATCACTGGTGTTAGAAGGTGCCGTCACCTTCTTGGCCTTCTTGGATTTTTTCTTCTCCTTCTCTGAGACCAGACTGTCTGCCATCAGTGAGATGTGCCTTTCCTGCAGGATTGAGAACAGGGCTGTTACTTGCCATAAAGTTAACCTGGCATTTTACCGATAGGTCATTTCACATTCATTGTTGTTAGTAATAGCATTCTACAGCGATCTTCAGTAAGGATGACCCACTACTTTGGACACATGGTCTTAGGGCCATGTGACTAAGCTAAGATGGGCATCCAGTACTGGTGTCACATATGCATGACAATTACAGGCACACAAAAATGGAACATAGAAATAATAAAGATAATTTTCACCAAAGCTTTGTTTCTTCTGGCCACCAACTTCACATCATCTGCATTCACCACAGTTCTCTTCCCATGCCTGAAGAGATATATAAATGGTAATGTACATGTATCTCAGTCAAGTGTGTCACTTGTAATATCAGGAAATACGTACTAAACAACATACAGTTTATACAGCCTTTAACATATGGGTGAATTCTCACTGGGTCTGTTTGAAAAGCATGAACTGTTTACCACCGCTTTAGGTCCCAACTTCAGAACTACCCCTTTACACAACAATCCTTAATAGTAATTCAATAATTACAAAGAATTATAAGGTTATTGATTTGTGTAAAAGCTTTTACCTGGCAAAAAGCTCCAGGTCCACTGCAAATTCTCCTGTAGGGCAGAGGTCAATGGATGAAGATGTTAAGAACAGTTTAAGCCAGTTTAGCTGACAATATCAGCTGTGTAAATGGTTGTTAATGGACTCGGTCAGGCAATGAGGTTAATACAAATGTACATGTACTTAAGAAGTCAGTATCAATTGCTCTAGAAATATTTTGCCATTAATTTCTTAAAAAAACATTGTATAGTAAAAAAGGAGTTGAAAGAAGAATTGAAACTGACATATTTGGAACAGTCTGAAAATTTTCACAAGGGATAATGTCCTGCGTGTCAAGCAAAGGAGTGTTTTTGTCTTCTTTTTTTTTTTGAGTCTTACTAACTTCAAAGTACAATGTGCTGAACAGTCTGCACCGGCACAAAACCAGGTTTTTTCATGGCTTCTGTTCAATGTTTGGTCAACGTTGCATCAGAATTTTGCCAGTTGCTGACAATATCTTTCTGGACAAAACATTTGAAAACTATAGACCTGATGTCATCCTTTAATGTACAAGTACGACCTAAAATGAGACGTTCTGCCAAAGTGCTATACACAATTTCGTTCAGTCTTACCACATTTCTTCATGGTTGCCTCCGACATGGCTGCTATGACCTGGCGAGAGAAGGTCACTCCACTTTCCTCACTGATGTTATCACACATCTGTCCCACTGTGTGGTGCACTGCAGCCTTCAGCCGCTAGGGGGACATTAATCAATCAATCAATCAATCAATCAATCAATCAATCGTTTACCTCATCACATATAATACATGTATGACCAATGGTGTGGTGCACTGCTGCCTTCAGCCACTAGGGGGACACCAAACAATTTATCAATCAATCAATACATACAGTACTAGTAGTACCTCATCACACATCTGTCCCACAGTGTAGTGCACTGCCGCCTTCGGCCGCTAGGGGGACATTAATCAATCAATCAATACCTTTGATACATCTCACCAACACTCACTCACATTAATCAAATAATTAATTAGTTGTAGCACAATGCTGAACTTTAAAAAGTTCATTCATTGACTTATTATTTCATTAATTGAACATTAATTTAAAATTGCTTGCGTTCTTTCTGGTACTGGGATCAATCAGTTGACTAACTAAAACTTTCAAAAAATATACCGATCAATGGCAGTTAGTATAAACCACAATCTCACACTCGCAGGACAAAGATTTCTTTTTAGTTTAGACATTCTCTACACTCTACTCTAAATAATTTATGGGGAGGGGGGCACTTAGTTCCCATCTTTCTATTATATTGACAATTTGACAGTATAAACAGTGGTATTTTCGTCAGCAAACAATAACGGCATTCAGTACTTTTGGGCGACATTAAAATGGAACAACAACAAGCCGAGTTTACCTGTGTGTAGGCGACTTGTTCGTAATCTTCTGCTCCAAACGGGCCATTTTCCGCCATTTTGGATTTCCCGCCAATTTCGATCGTTCTGTAGCGAGTTATTCGCACAGCAAACGATTCGTGGGATTGAGACTGAGTCTAGCAGAACATTTGTCTTTTATTATGTTTGACCAACTAGTTTAAACAATTACACCAAAAAACCATAACTATTACATGGTAAATATCATGTCGTATGTGTAAAATTAAAATTTTGTTCAGTAAGAGACATTGTTATGTTGAATGTCAATGTTTTTGAAAGAAAGAAATAATTTTTTCACGATTCGGCATATTTGGACTGAGCATAGCAGACGATTCAGAACGCTTGCCTGAGGAAAGTATCGTTGTGAACTGCCAACGTCAACTCTCCAAGATTCGCAGTTATCTTATACAAACTGTGCCAAAATGTCGTCCAATACACCGACTACAGGTAACCAGGATGTACTATAATATGTTTTGGTGCATTTTAGCGCCAGAAACCCTGTTTGAAGGGCTAGAGATCTAAAGTTTTTGTTGGATGTGGGGAGGGGGGCAACAGAGCTGAACCCACAAACCAGACGTTGAACCATGGAGGTAAAAAACCTCCATGTTTGAACACAGAATTCAAAGTGTAGTTATTAGTATAGAGTGTTAAGCTATCTATGTTAAATTATGTTTTTATATTATGCGTGTGGGTACCGGTAGTCAAGGTCTGATGCCTCATACTAACTCCATGATTCGAACCCAGGACCAGTCACATTATGATCCTGACTGCTAAAAATTATATGGTATCCAAAATCGTACCTACATGTAATACTATTTTGGATACCATATTTTAGTTATCTACTAGCTGAATGGGTTAGCTTTAGGGTTAGGATCAGGCATTGTTCTGGATAGAAAGAACAAATTATTCTGGATACACGTGGACTATCCAGAACCTCGCCTAGCGGCCTGTCAGTGTCAGTGCAAGGTTCTGGATAAAGCACGGTTCTGGATAAAGCACGGTTCTGGACTACAACAACTGCTAAGTGCTAAAATTCTATGTCTCTGCCCTCCCCAGGCCCATCCTCAGCCAGCACGAATGTGACGAGTGGAACAGGTACAGACGTGGTCGGTGGGGAGGTCCGTTCAGCTGGGGTGTCACTCGCAGACTTTCTACTACAGCTGGAGGACTACACACCTACTGTTAGTATGGACTGCAGATCTTTTGAGATTGATTGTCTCCGTCAAATACTCAAATTCTTTTATTACCTTTACGAAAAATGGAGGTAATATTTTGACTTATTCTGCCTTGTTAAAATGTTCCAGATCCCAGATGCAGTGACAGCGTACTACCTAAACAGAGCAGGGTTTGAAGCTTCTGATCCCAGAATGTGAGTGGACTCATACTTTCTTTCTCTCCTCAGCAAAATGGCATAACTACAATACCTTTGGTGTAAACCCAAAGGCAGATGGTTGTATTACCTATCATAGATGATAGAATGCTTTGCTACGTCATAGCTCTGTTCAAACCATTGTTGAAAACTACCTACCTACATTTGTACCTGGATTGGTTTGTAAATACTGCTAACTTGTTCTGATAGGGCGTTTGCTTTGTTTGCTCTTATTCTACTTCTTCAGAGTCCGTCTGATCTCCCTGGCTGCTCAGAAGTTTGTTTCTGACATCGCCAACGACGCCCTTCAGCACTGCAAGATGAGGGGGTCGGCACAGAGCTCCAGGAAGGCTGGCAAGGTAGGGGTATATGTCGGTAAAGATTGGGATCTGGCAGAATCTACTGATACAGATCCTGATCAGAGTCTTCAAGTCAACAGAGACTCTGGTCAGCATGCTCAGACCACTGTGTTAGGGTACAAATCCTAAATTTCAAGTCAATCCATTGATCTAAAGTGACATGAATAAAAAATTCTGACTGTCTTTGAAGAAAATGTCTTTACAGACTCTAATCAGGAGCTCTACCGACAGAGATTCCAATCGCAGTTTCTGTGGACTGAGACTAAATGTGTTGCCAGCTGCCTATAATCATGTCAGTTCTGCAGTTTGATAGAGCAGCTGCAATAGAGCAATTTGGTTTAAGTTAAACCATTAAATTGTTTTAAAAAATAATGTTGGGACATGTTTTTTTTTTTTTTCGAAGTGGCAGCTATCAAACATGAAAGAGGAACTGGTCACATGTAACGTTACATGGTCCCTGTTTACCATGTTGATTTTGTTCTTCATTTTGTCTGCAGGATAAGAGATATACCCTGTCCATGGAGGACCTGTCACCAGCCTTGTCAGAGTACGGGATCAACGTAAAGAAACCTTACTACTTCACATGATGACTCACAGTGTTAAATACATGTACACTCATTAACTACTAGATATATCAATTTTTCTATTACCTCAATGTTTCAATAGTGTTGCCACCCACCATCTCAGACTGTCAAATGTTTCATTGTCTGGGGTGCCTGTATTTTATGTGGACAACCATCATTACTAGGTAAAATGAGTTTACAATTATGTAAGTGCAGCTTTGTCAGTGTTCCACCTATATACTGTTAGTGTGACCAAAGTCCAGTAACATTGTCACTAATTCAAGAACTTGTCCATAGCTCACGATCAAAATTACTGTCAATGGTGACTGCCATATTGCCATGAAGTGGCAACAGGTTGTGTTCAGCAAGTAGGCTTAAGTTGCCTTTTTTATGTATAACCTGCAAAATAATCACAGTGTTTTGATTTGATAATAACCTCATTGATCATGGTAAAATATTAAGAAAACTCTTCTGTTTGCAGAATTTGTGACAGTAAAATTTTGTATGGTTACTAGTATAATAATCAAAGCGTAACTTTGAAATACAAGCAATAGACATCTTCCCTCCATGAACGAGGTTGGTGTTGTTAGGGTTCTTTTTTATGTTATCACATGTGTTCATTGTTAAAACATGACAGCTGGGTTTAAATTTAATTGGACGTTATATGGCCATGAATAATGAGGGAGTTGCTTTGTGTTGGTACAATTTTAATTTTTATCATGTAACGTTAAGTACCAACCCAGATAAACTTTCAAGCGAGTTTTAGTACTTAGAGACTTGTATGTTCCGAATTGAAGAATTGATGGAGCAGCCTGCAAGGTGTTTGGTATACTTTATTCCATATATATCATTTCATAGCTATTAGTAATGCAAGAATCCTACTCTGATCTCTTTGTTAACTGAGCAAATTGATGTTACGTGGTCACGAGAGAGAGGGACGACTTCACTCCCAGATATACAACTCAGGACTGGCCCCACACGGTCGGAGGTAGTTTATTTACATCACTAATTGGTAACAGAGGTTGGGGGGGGGGGGGTACGAGAGGCACAGATATCAATCCTGCAGAGGTGAGGTCATTGACCTCTCAATCACAACATGTACACAAACAAACCGCCCCATTAGCAAGGCCGGCAGGTCAGTAACCCAAAAATAACCAGACCAAAGAAATATATAGCCTGTCAAACAGGAGGTAAAAATAGATACAAGTGTATGCCAATTGGGGTCAACAAAGACCACACTACTATAAAATAGGGGTGATAATGTAGAAATCCTTTTAAATTAAGCAATACAAATATACGACAACCTGCTAATGCACTCTAAAACGCAAAGAGACTCAACAACTACCCACATACCAAATATTATACCAAACGACCCACCAGATTTTCCAAACATTCAACACAAAAAGACCAACTTTAAACATATTGTAAATATCAAACGCAAACAGCTAGGAAGCCCAAATTTAAACCACTAAACCATGGTAATAACAACTACATGCTACCTTAATATCGCACAAACAGTCCATAACGCGCAAACAACAGAATAAAAAAATTAAACTGCAGTACCAAGGTCAATCACCAGGGGCTCAAAGTCAACCTACACAATCTCCAAGGCCCCATCCATCAATCTGCCAAATATCGTACAGTTCCTTCTCACCGATCTTCAGATATCAGACCAAACATGAAACGGAGTAAAAACAGTACCCCCATTTTCATGGAGGGTAAAAAGTGGATCAACAAAAACTACCAGTAGTTGTCTTTTCATCCTTTTGAAGTTTTGATGATAAGGCTCTGCCTAATATAAAAAAGTTTTGAGCAAAATATGCCATTCAATTTGATAATACGTCTCCATTAAGATATCTACAAACTAACAACTCTCAAATAGAAATAGAAAAGAACTTATAAAGGGGAAAAAGATAATTGCAAAGACCCAATGTCATATAATATAGGCTTTATTGTGTTTTTTGTACAGATAGTGAATTAAATATAATTTTACTGACAGCTCATCACAAAAACACTCATATTTCAAAGATGGGCAAAATAGCAAAAATATATCAATATAACATCAATGTATTTTTTTTAACTTTCACTGTTTAATAGCTGTGTCATGAGGTATGATTCTGAGAACTAAATTTTAGATGGTAGATGAAAAAAGTAGTATCAATTGTAAACAAGAACATGTATTAGTAAGGATTTGTGTTAACAGTTCTTTAATACCCAAAATAGGGAAAAAGGATTATCAAACCCCTATATATTTAGTCATAGATTTCAGATAATCTAATATGGTAAGAAATGATCACAAAGATGATGTTTTCACATACTAGTTAGTATCAGACAGCAAACTTAGCTGAAAAATCAACCTCTATCTAACAACAGTACTGTACAATTGCCTCAGAAATTCTCTTTTCAAAAGTCAACAGGAAATGACAGGAAGACTGCTCTTATAGTATAATGATATATCACTGATCAATTTTTAGTAATGCCTTATTTACAGTGGATAAATATAATTCATACTGACAATGCTATATTTGTAAAAATTGTAATCATGATTTTGATACAGGCCTCATTCGGTGGCTTAGGAAAATGTAATGTCTTAAACATTTTATTTTTGTTACACATTTGTCTACCATATTTAGTAGGCATGTACAAAGTCATTCATTTTCGGAAAATACTAAAATGCCATTGTACATTGTATCTATCTGACCAAGGAATGCATGTATGTGCTTGAAAACAAAAAAAAAAAAAAACCTGACAAGAAATGGTGACAAAAATAGTATCATTCACTGATTCAGTTCTTCACATCCCCTTTTCCCAGCCAATTTGATACCAGATAAACTTTCTACATGTGTGGCTTTGGTTAATGTTTGATGTAACTTTGTTACGTTTGTTTTTTACTTCAAGTTGCAAAAACCAGCTGTTTCTTCTTCTTGATCATCTCTAGTTGCCATGGTGACAGCTTGTTGTCATCCACCCCTTCCTGCTTGAGTTTCTCCTTGAATTGTTTCTCCTCCTCCTCCAGTTGTCTCCTTACAGCCTCCTGTTTCTCCTTAGCAGCTGCCTCGTCCTTTCTGTAGTCAAGGTCAAGGAATGGTTCATTGTACATTTCTATCATGCTAACAATTTAGTAACCTTGTGCAGTTGAGTATAATTCTTCAAGATGCCTGATGCCTTGTACACTAACAATATTGAAATATGTGATAGACTCCTACAAAATGTCTTTTATTATTTATTTTAGCAGTACAGGACCCCATGATCTAATAATTTTTAGGTTTCATCAATCAAACTACCGAAGCTCTCTGGAGTTATAGATATACATGTAATAAGTAATCTAGACAAGTGCACAAATTGGTAACCATGTTGTGGATTGTTCTTTTTTAGAAGTTGAATTGGGCTTTAACAACTGAATTATTAAGGTAGTATCTTAATTACTGGTGAGCTCCATCTTTTTAAGACAAAGAATACTGCTTCTCACCTCTGCTGCTCCAGCTTTCTCTTGACAATTTCCCGTTTCCAGTGCGGAACCTGAGACAAGATGGCTTCCTCCTCTGCTTGCTGAGGAAAGGTCAAGTACAAGGTCAATGTTATTGCTTTCAGAATTATAGCAAAATTTAGTATGATCAAGGATGTAGCCTGGTTACCCAAACCTATTTTACATGTAGCTGCAGAGTCTCTTCCGTACTCACTGGAAACAGAGACTTCACAGCTTCACAGTTTTGGTGACCATGCCACAAAGATACTACTAGGAAAGATGCTACTGTAATATAGTATTTGAAAATTAAGTTCAATGTTTAAGTCAAATGGTTCATAGTTCATACAATGATTTTTCTCTACCTTAGTAAATTTAAAGTGATTTTTACTAGGTAAAAAGTGATTTTTGATACAGCTATGTTTGAAGAACTTCTAGAGCAAAAAAGTAGATCACGCCATGCCACCCATTGCAGAAAATGGCAAGTAATGCAGCAGCAACAACTTTTGGAAAACAGCATAAGCAGTTTGTCTAATCAAGGCTGATTGGGCAGGCCCGGTGTAGCATAGCTTCTGATGAATCAGATTCCCTGCAACCAACAATTATTGGTAATAATGATAATCACATCACTCAGAGTAAACATGATCGACCAATTATGCTGCTTAGTTGGTTGATTGGTTTGACAGGATGATCATTTGTGCAGCCTTCTGACAGTAAATACCTTCTTGGACCGGGCGGCCTGTTGTGCACGCTCCTATAATGTTGGTCACCGTGGATGTGAGGGTAAAGGAGGACAGGAGGGTTACAGAAAGGGTTATCTTCTAAAAGAAACTGCAAAACTTGGTAAAAAGGACAGTTAAGTCGACACAGGAAGTGTTATGTCTTCAAAATGTATAAAAATGGATGAATAAACTCTGGCCACAGAAATAAATTTAATACACTACAGTAAAACAGGAAAACTTAGAGAAAACATGAAGTTGAAAGACAAGAGATGTCTTAATACAGAAAAGGGTTGATCACTGATGCCACATCAGTTGATCTCTTTAAAAAATACACAATTTTTCTTAGCATTGTTCTAAGGGTACCTTGGAGACTTGTTGATGTGAAAAATACTTGTGCATGTATCTAAGGACATTCCATTGTAACATATTGTACAAATGTATGATAATTTATAGACAGGCAAACTAGCCTGGGTACCATCTAGATTTTTGCTCTGCAAAGCTTGACATTTTTTCAAGCGTTCCGAAGCAAAAATCCGGGCTACAGGCAAACAAATGCAGTCACAAACCTTCTTTTTCTCCTCATCATCTTTCTCCTTCTCTGCTTGCTGTTTTTTGAGGAGGATGGCCTGTTTCCATGGAGGCACCCCGTTGGGTTGCATGGACGGCAGCTTTGTCACATCCACAGGACCTGTACCATTACTGGGTGGGCTGAGGGGAGGTGGGGGCGGTGGTGTGGTGTTTGTGGGACTTACAACCAGCACCTCACCTGTAACAATGTCATAAATACAGTCATTGTACTGTAAATTCATTTGAGTTTGTGTCAACGATCAACTAGAATTTGTGGCATGGTGGAAATAGTTTGTGGTATCTTTGATTGGTTTGTAGCAGCTTTGAGTGGTGGAAACAAATTAAAGTGACATTCAGCTTGTAAAATCTGTAGCTACATGTACTACATAAACTTCATTTAAATCACTAACATTGTAAGTATAAGCTGCTTCAGGGTTTGGACTGTGCATGCAATAGGTCAAAGATGAAAGCCCCTGACTTGAAAACAGTTCTTGTCAGGTAGACCATGTTCTACACCAAGTCCAGACGTGCTTCGTTTTATGTATCAGGGGACTTTGACATATTACCAACAATACATCACACTGCACATGAACAATTCAAACTGTGAAACAGCTTATTCTAACATCTACTTTATTCTTGACATCTCACCAGTTGCTGGTTCTTGTGCACTCGGACTGGCTGGCGGTGTCTTTAATGCAGGGGCAGCCACAGGACTGGTTGGCACATTGGTGGGGACAATGATAATGGGAGATGGTGGGCGGCCGGTGTACGGTTTGGGTTTCGGTGAAACCATAGGTGGCTGTTTCGGTGAGGTTAGAGGTGCCTGTTTTGGAGTTACAGGTGACTGTAAAGGTGAGACTATAGGTGGCTGTTTCGGTGAAGTTAATGGTGCCTGTTTTGGTGGGGTTATAGGTGGCTGTTTTGCTGGATTAACAGGTGCCTGTTGCAGAGGAGCAGGTGGCCATCTGGAAGGTGTGGTAGGTTTTGACTCGATGGAGTTTGGAGAGGAGGGTGTTACACTGCTAGTGTTGGGAGATGGTCTGTTGTTGGAAGGTACCTAGAACAGAGAACAGAATGCTGAAATTAGACATAACTGTGCAAAATCTTCTAACGTTAACTCAGAAACCTACAGCAGGGAGAAGGTTAACCTCCAGCTTGTAGTCATGTAATTCAAAATAGAGATATTGAGTCATACTTATAATGGATGGTGATAAATTTGTTAAATGACTGACAAAAAGATGAAAATTGTAGTACTTACCTCATCAGTCGCGACCACCTTATTCACAGGAGATGTTGGGACGTCTGGCCTCCTGTTAACAGAGCTGATGTGGGGCTGGAGTAAAAGAGTAAATAACTGATGTTAGTGACTTTTTGCAAAGTAAGGGACATACTGTCATATACCCCCTTACAAAGTAGGCTAATATTAGCCTGGGTGCCAGACTGTTGCCAGGGACAGTACATCTATACAGGCTAGCTTCTCAGCTCCAAAAATTTTTCCATAGACAGACTCTGGGCAACCCGGCTTGAGAGATAAATTCAGGTGCTACCCCTAGCATCAGGGCTTGTGGCTCCCCCAACCAAAGGGAGTATTGTGTCAAGCTAGGGTCTGGCATCCAGGCTACAGTACAGCTCGCGTTATAGTTTCCAACTCTGACAACCGCGAACGCGGCATTGACGCGATAAGACCGCGTTCCGCATGCGTTAATGAAGGTGTGAAACGCGTTAGGGTTTCAACTATAACGCGTTCACCAAGCGTCAGGGTTTCAAATATAACGCGTTTTCATAGGTATTCATATGCACGGGGCGGTAAGATCAAAGGGAAGTAGGAGGGGTACTGATTAACCACATGCAGTGCGGGAAATGCGTGGACCCAAGACAACTAAAAAATTTTACGATCATCTGTGGCAAGATCTGCACGGCTACTCTGGCGATACCGCGGTGTGTAGTATCAAGGGTACCCGTATCTGGAGTCGTTTGTACAAAGTATAGCAGGTTAAGGCCTGCGAAAAAAATAAAGTTTCGTGTCGTTTGATAGTACCATAAATTCCAGAATAAAGCACTCGTGTTTTGAAACTTTTCAAAATCGTCAAAGTCGGGGTGCGTACTTAATTTGAGGGTTTCTCTGAAATCCGCCGACGCCGCAGGAATATAGCGAACACCGGCAAGTGGAGCTTGGAACGGCATCGACTCGTTCATAGCATGTTTAGATAAGAATGTTGAAGAGTGGAAATAAAGTTATCTTCAATAAATGAGCATCTTTCTGTTGGGTATCATCGATATTGACACCAAGTTTCGTTAAAATAAAGTCAAGTGACACATGGTAAGAAACGTAGGTCACTCACGTCCCGAGCGCAAGATGGTTCGCCAGCCAGCCGGCGCCGATGTCAGAAGAAACCGGCAGAAAACAACTCATCTACCCCGTAAGTATCCGTAAGTATATACACAATTGTAAGAGGGTTTATGAGTGGTAGGATTTGAAATGCAAGCCGTGAACGTTCTTGATCGTCGTAACGTGACATAAATAAACGTAAGTTGACATTACCACCGTTACATGACATTCAGTGAGTGTGCATGGTCAGTTTTAATGCACTTACGGACTCGGACGAGTTGAAGAAAGAAATCTTCAACAAAGACGACATCCATGCTGTTACAAAGGTTCGGTTGACAGAAGTTGTTTCATTACGTACCACAAATGTCTTAAAATCTTGATAAATGCCACGTTGTAGCGGTGCTATACCATGCCTGTACTATGCGAAACTTGCTGGGTAGATTGTAACGTTACACAGCATGGGATGTTGCAATGATTGGGGCGGAGTTTAAAATCTACTCTTGTGAAACCTCCTGCCGCCCGACCAGAGGGCGGGGTCCGGTCTCTGCCTTGGTAGGCGTGACGCCACTCTGTCTAGCTCGCTGAGGACGTGCTGGCCACGCATCGTGGGAACCAGCGGCGGAAGCTTTCCAGATCTTTTCCATGCTGGGGATTTTATAAGCATTTACTTTGTACGAGATATTTTGAAACCTTTCCACTCTCTTACGTTCAGAATCGCAAGTGGGGGTACAGAAGCCTTTTGTTGTTGCTTTGGTTTCGGTGTCAAATTTTAAATACTTCCCCGCCTCAATGATTGTTGCCAATCAGCTTAGAACTGTCGGCGCCTTTCGTAAAGAACAACAAAGCTACGTACTGCGTTAACATTTAAATCGCCCCCCCCCCCACCGATAAAACCAACATTGTAATATTGTCTTCTTTTTTTTTTCAAATATCTTTTACCATTGCTGACTTGATCGCCGACACTCTCCAAAGCTGTACGTTTCGCTGCACTTGCCTTACCTTTCGTTGCGGTGGTAATGTCTTGCGAGCCGGCTGTGGCCCGCGGCGAACGTAGAACAGCCGAAGATGAAAAGTTTCCCGCTACAATACTAGTATAAACGAGTTACCAACAATCGCTTAGCACACGACCGTTTTTTTCTTGATTACTTCAATGAACAATACGGTAATCAACTACAAATTTTATAATCTAATAAGCTGATTGTTTTGTGTGCCAGTATATGTTTTGTCAATATTACTTATTAACAGAATTAAATGTACATGTATGCAAAATACACCAGCTCTCCATAGTAATCAGAGAAAGAATTATTATTTTTTTTTTAATACAGGTGATGTCGATCTTTAGAAGAGAAGGTTTGGATGGGAACAGGATCTACACGTGTATGTAACATCGATACCGGCCCCCGGTTTGGAAATGTGGTCCAGGAAATATGACACATATATGCCTGTGTTTATTCATTGGTTCTGTTCTGAAGAATATGTAACGTTATATGCAGTGCACATCGTAAATTGCGCTTTACAAAACATTATCGTTCCGACGTACATGTACAAAGACTTTCAAGATTTGCTCTTTGAAGTACGGATTGTATCGCATGGTGAGACGTAAAACAGGCGGTGCCTTCAGTAATACGATCCTCCCGATCGCCGAATGTAACAAATTTATAAACATATCCTTTCGCTATTGTTTGCTTGAAATGACTCCTAGTTCTTGGTGGAAGGTTCTCCTTACCTGCGTTTCTGAGTCCTATCTTCCGGCCGATTAGCCCAACTTACCTGCTACTAGTGGATGGTGGATCGCCGTTTTTTCTAGTCCGGAGTTTCCCAGTCAGCTTGTCTTGTATAAAAAAATTATACCACATTCTACATCATTTTATCACATCAAGCATACAGTAGAGGTATAGAATATCTCTTTATTCGAAAAGGGGCGTTTTTGGAACGCCTTTGATTTGAAGTATGTAACGTTAACTTGTTAACGTGAGGGTATCGTGAAGCAGAACTACAAGGCATGTGTGATGCTTTCAGCAACACCTGTGACAAGTTTGGTCAAACAGTCAGTGTGAAGAAGACAGTGGCCTTCTCCACCAATGCACCCCCTCCGCACATAACCATAAATGAGGCTACTCTCAACACGGTAGAAGACTTCCGGTACCTTGGTTCTACTGCCTCGTCTTCCGGAAAGCTAACCCGTGAAGTTGACACCAGAATCGGTCAAGCTGCCAACCTCTTTGGGAAGCTGAAAAGTCGCGCTTGGGATAACAAGTATCTGACTATCCACACCAAGGTGCGAATATACCTAACTTGTGTTCTGTCAGCGCTGCTCTATGGTAGTGAAGCCTGGGCCTCTCACGCCCATCTTGAAAGAAAACTTAACAGCTTTCACATGAGGTGTCTCAGGAAGATTTGTGGGGTCTCATGGTCTGACAAAGTTCCTAACCTGGAGATCCTCAAAAGATGCGGCACCACGAGTGTGTTTCCTATCCTGAAGCAGCGCAGGTTACGCTGGTTGGGTCACGTGTCTCGCATGGACCACTCGCGTCTACCACACCAGGTACTGTATGGTCAGTTGGCAGACGGCAAGCGCGACAGGGGTCGCCCAAAGCTCCGCTTCATAGATGTCTGCAAGCGGGACCTGAAGCTTTTTCACATTGGTGCCAACTGGGAGCACCTTGCACAAAACCGCACTGCATGGCGGTATGCACTTCGCCAAGGTGCCAAGAAACTGGAAGATGACCTGGTCCAAAATGAGACCACAAGAAGGCATAAAAGACACCATCCTTCTGCAACACCCGCTTTCACCTGCACAACCTGCGGGAAACTCTGCAGGAGTAAAGCTGGGCTGGCCGCACACGGACGAGCCCATCGACGTTGAGCAGAGCGTCTGCTAAGACGAAAAGGAGAAGAAGAAGCATGACGGAGAGAGAAAAAAATTACGAGAAAAAAGTGCCTCCAACAGAAACATATGCTATAACGTTAATACTGTTATCAATTAGCTACGGATAATTCTTATGTATTTGGACGGTAAGTATTCGGACGGTAAGTATCAGGCTGCTACAGAGAGCTCGAGGCTGATATCATCGCCGGGCGGCCCGGCTTGGCGGCGACTTGTGACTGATGGACCGCCGGACGACGTCTCCCCCTGCGGATCGGCATGGTCAGATTGAGTAGTCGTTGATTGCTACTTTGAAAAAGTGATACCATACAGTTATTCAGAATAATAAAGCTATAACATATGTTTTTATCCGATGTATAGCGGAATGTTGGGACGCAAAGATCGTAGATTCGGTGTGAAAATACCCCTGGAAAACGACAGTTTTTTTTTTTTTAACGTATCGGCTAGGGAAGGCTGCGCGTACTATGTGAGTTGGGGGAGGGGGGCGTGGTGGTATCGCTTTGCCGATGTTTTCGTCGGATGAAAACCTATAAAACGTTAACATTTTGGGCTAGCGTCCGTTTAGGTGGAAATTAGGGAGAATTTTGGCGGCTTCTTGAAGAGTTTTGTGTGTCAAGACTCCACGTCCGCTGCATAACGCTGCGGGCCGTGCCACAATGTGCGTCGGGCTGGCGGCTAGTCAGGCACTTTGTGAGATACATTCTCTTACGCCTGTTGACTTTTGAAACGTTATAAACGCACTAAATTTTGTGTTCAAAATTGCACATGTAGTTGTAGTTGTAGGCTATCTCTGCAACGACATGAGAGAGGTGCCAACAATGCTACATGACGCCGTTCTAGGTGCCAAGTCGCTATTGTCTTACAAAACCGTAAAACAAAACATGAAACCTGACCCCATCTCATTAACTTTGTCTGGCGATCGGAAACGCGTTATGGTTACGCGATGCGCCAACTCTACCGCGTTATACCGCGTTCGGGTTAGCGTTTATGCATATTTGCCGAACGCGTTCGGAACGCGCGGGGAACGCGGCATTGACGCGACAGGATGTTAACATTGACGCGAGCTGTACTGTAGGCTGATATAAAAGGTTTTGCCCATCATACCTGTACAATAGGGTTCCCAGACCCTGCCCTGGCTAACTTTGCCAGCGTACTCTCCTTCATGTTCGTAACAGAAAGTGGAGGCTACTATTTTTGCCAAATTCTACCAACCATAACTCCATAGGAAGGCCTGGCATTAGCTAAATATAAAATGTTCTGCCCAGCATACCTGTACAAAATGTACAATAGGGTTCCCAGACCAAGCCCTGGCTAGCTTGGCAGGCGTACTCTCCATCGAGATCATAACAGCTTCTGCCTCCCCATTGGTCAGCCCTTCCATTCTAACAATTGTGACGTCCATAACCTTCTAGCTATAGGCAAGCCTGGTGGAGGCTACTATTTTGCCAAATTCTACCATTCATAACCCCATAGGAAGGTCTGGTGGAGGCTAATAAAAAAGGTTCTGTCAAGCGTATGGTACTACCTGTACAATAGGGTTCCCGGACCCTGCCCTGGCTAGCTTTGCAGGCGTACTCTCCCTCGGGTTCGGAACAGCTTCTGCCTCTCCATTGGTCAGCCCGTCCTCGGAACCCTCGGGCTTCGGCGGCTGGACGCTGAGGTCCTCCCCAAACTTGAACTTCAGGAGAGGGTGGACAGACGGGGTGGCCGGAGACTCGGGAAGGTCGAGGGGAGGGACGGGTGGGGTCTGTTTCAGTCAAGTCAAAAGAACGTTGTTCATCATCAACATCATTTGTCAACCATTGATGGGGACAGGGTTAGGCGCTGTACATACTTACAATTGTAGAACATTGTTAGTATTACCATGTGGCAGACAATAAAAAAGTCAGGAATTATACTATTAGCTAATTTAGACAACATTTCATTTAAAACAATGATTTTCAAAAGAAACTAAGTACTTCAAAATCTCAGAAAACAGCTATAAAACATTAAATAAGTAAACAGTATGCGTCAAAGTACATCAATCATACTATACTGTCAGTCAGTCTGAAAAGACTACAACTTAACTGTGCAAACAACAGGATGGCATAGAATAATTTTAATCAATACAGAGAAATTTGACTTATTTGCTAGAAGTCACTCATTATGGTTCATCATCTTTTTTAGTCTCTACATAGCGAATCCTACCTGTTTCTTCTTCTCCTCTTCGCTGTATTTGCGCTCCGGTATGGCTGGCGGTGGTTTGTCCGGGGGAGGGGGAGGGATGAACACCGGCTGTGCGTCCCTGTCGACGGGCGGTGGCTGATCGTCCATGTCATAGTCAGGAGGGGGGATGGGAGGGTACGGCTCCTGGTGCTCACCGGAGTCCTTCTTCCTCCCAGAGTGGACGTCTGCTGTCACCAGCTGGGTTGGTGCTAGAGGAAGGCACAGAATAGTTTTAGAATTGTAGGTTAAACTTACCCTATAACACTTCCTAATAGGCAATCAGAGAAGAGGGCAGCTCTATGTTCCTGATACTAGAGGGGCCTACGTTCCAACAGAAGTTTAATGTATCAATGGTGTGTTATGCCAAATGGCAGTTATATCAGATATTCAGATACACAGATACAGAAGCTGGTGTGTTACGCTGAGGGGCGGTTTTACCAGCTATACAGAATACAGCTAGAGGTTACACTTGCTAATCAGAGATGTAGATAGCCCTATGTTCCTATGTCCTGACTCACCTACCTTCCAACACAAGGTTTAAGGGTTGCCAGAACATAGGGATGTCCAAACATACATTTGTAAGGGTGATAAACTGGCAGATATTACCCCCTTCACACAGTTTCAGATGTTAACCCTGTGCAATGATTGCTGTCTTTAGAAAGTAAGGCTTGAAGACCTTGCTATAACATGTATGTGACCTAGAATATTTCAGATCGTATACACAGGGAAATCCTGACCTGGTTTGTCCCTGGGAGGTACCAGCACATCCTCATACTCCCCATTATCATCGTTCTGGTAGACATGCTCAGGACTGTCATTCTCCTCACTCACACCAACAAGGGCTAGGAGAGGGTTAGAATATTAGACTTTAAAACATTTTCTAAATAGCATTTTCTATGAAATTAATGTGGAAGTATGATGATATAAATAAGCAAAGTAGTACGAAGTAACAAGTGTCATTTGCATAAAAAGCATAAGGGACAGCTATGTCACCAGGAATGTCATTCAGCACCAGGGACAGCAATATCAATGTGGATGTCTCAATTCCTTGACAAAAACTGGAGTTGTACAGTCAAAACATTTAGGTAAGTCCAATTTCTTGTGCTTGAACTTGCTTCATAATGACCTGACACTTAATGTACTACCTGAAGCCCTGACTGGTTCACCATGGACAGGTTTGGTGTTCTCTCTCATGGACTCCCGCCGGCGCTGAGGCTGCTTCGCGATGGATGGTGCCGAGAGACGACGAGGTTTCTACATGGAAGGAATGGCAAAATCAAGTAAATACTGCAAAACGGTAGCACACGCCAAGCTGGCCACTTGGGCTTGATGACCAAGGATTGAGGACTTTTCAAAAATAAAGTTGAACTTGCCACCACTTAAACTACCGTAGGGGTATCTTCTCTAGATAGTTTGAAGAAAAATGCCTGCAGTTAGTTGTGCAAAGATTAGCATTTACTGCTTATGTGTTATAAATAGTTGCTGTGATGCGTGCCTGTGAAACAGTTACACCGAAGGGCAGTTATACCAGCAATATAGATACGGAAGCTGGTGTGTTATGCCAGGCAAGGATGGTTACAGTTACAAGACTAAGTAGAGTGACTCGCTATTTCCCAAAATAAGACACGATCCTCACCTCCTTCATGACTGTGCGCAGGTACTTTGCACAGACGGTGTGACCGCATTCCTCGGCCAGGTCAGCAGGGGTGAAACCATCATGGTCCTGTCCATGGACGTCCTCACCAGCCTCCACCAGCACCTTCAGGCACTGGGAACAACAACAGGACAGGGTGTCAAACAATGATTAAACAACAGAACATCAAACAACGATCTTTCTAACCCTAACCCGTCATGGTCCTGTCCATGGACATCCTCTCCTGCTTTCACTAGGACCTTCAGACACTGGAAACAACAATAGAACAGGTGGACATCAAACAACGATCACCATAACCCTCTTCCTAACCCTAACCTGTCCTGATCATTATTGTCAAAGTGTAAAGGTGGTCCTGCAGCTTTTTTGAGGCTGAAGTGGGTTGTCTCGGGTCTGGTATTGGAAGGCGGAGCCCATCCCTCTTCTTCTTCAGCCTGTTACGTCCCCAACCAAATAAAAGGCAGTTTAAACGAGGAAACTCTTGTCAAGTGTTAGACACAATGTCCATCTAAGAATGTCTGGATTGAACCCATTTTTGGTATGTTACACAGATAATCATGTACAAAATGTACAACTGTATTATTAATACAAATGGTACAAAATAAAGAAAGGGTTTTGTTATTCAACAATATTCCTATTTTATCTCCTTTCTGAGATTTGAATGGTCCCCACCTCCAGTTGTCCATGTTCCGCAGCGTCGTGCATGGGGGTCCCGCCCAGGTTGTCCTTCTCGCACTTCCCACCATGCAACAGCAGCCAGCTGACGACCTTGGCGTGACCTCTGGAGGAGGCGAAGTGGATGGGCGTGGCCCCGTCGTTGTCCCTCTCCGTGGGCAGGGCGTCCTGGTCATTCACCTTGGAGATGGAATACATGAGAGGATTCAGCATTTAGAGACTCAAGCCTGTCATGCATTCATCACTAATATATTGGCCTCTCGAACACTAGGTGAACCCAACCATGGTTAGGAGTAGTTCAGAGCAAAGTTGACTGGGTCAGCTGGTGTTTTAAATTGGTCTGTGTCTGAGCTGAACGCTTGAAACAAAATGTTTAAAACATTCAGGGGTTGGTCACGAGGTACATGTATCAGCTGTAAGTCAGCAGAACACATGCATCCTGATCATTCATCTAGAAGCAAAATTAGTGATTAGGCCACACCAATTTATTTTCTTGGTTAACGGATTCGCCCGCTTCATTTTTTTCTGATTTGCAAATAAAAATAAAAATCCAGAATCAACTGCAAAATGCTCATATTTTGCCCTGAACAGTTGAAAACAGTCCTTTTCATCCTAGTTGTTACAGTTATTCCATCTTTCAATGCAGTGGTATCATTAAAAGTTCAAAATTCATTGTTTAAATTTTGAACCAGCCTGGTGTGTTGACTTCATAGCTCCTATTGTACCATTTTGGGCCATAATAGGATGCCTAGGCCTGTTTTTATTTTATATTTTTTCACCCGCCCGCTCCATTATTTTTCTACAAAAATCCGTTAACCAAGAAATTAAATTGGTGTGGCCTTAGAAAGACCATTTACAGTTACTGGAGAGATAGGCTGTCAGAAAATATGCCTACGCTAACACCACATACGAATTCAGTCTGTGTAGAATGGTTACCAGGCTATTTGATACTACACTTAAAGGACTTTGGTCTCTTTCAACAATTTGAAACGTGCAGTCCTGGTCTCTGAAGGGTATGCTAAGCCAGAAATTTGAATGGGTCATAAACTCAACTCATATATCAAGATGTGTTTGTTTGCTTGTGCTTTTGTAGTTATTGGAATTAAGTTGACTCGCAGGTAGTGAAGGAGGAAATGGTGTTCCAAAACCATATTCCTGAAGGCTGGGAGGAACCTGGGAGGGTGGACATTATATTTACAGAATTGGTGAGGAATTATGAATAAAACATTTTTTAGCCAGGTGTCCTGAAGCATTTTACCTGCCGAGTCTCTTTCATCCTGTCCAAACCTATAGTGGAGAGGACAAAAAAGACTCGGCAGCACACAGTCAACTGTAACTTTACAGAGGTGTGAAGTCTTCAATTTTGTGTTACGTGCTATCATCAATCTGACTGACCAGCCATATGAGAATGTTAAGGTGTCCCATCTGTGCTTGATCATGTTTATGTACAATATATAAATGTAGATTAGTTAAATGGTTCTTGTTGATGTGACTGACCAGCCATATGAGAATGTTAAGGTGTCCCATCTGTGCTTGATCATGTTTATGTACAATATATAAATGTAGATTAGTTAAATGGTTCTTGTTGATGTGACTGACCAGCCATATGAGAATGTTAAGGTGTCCCATCTGTGCTTGATCATGTTTATGTACAATATATAAATGTAGATTAGTTAAATGGTTCTTGTTGATGTGACTGACCAGCCATATAAGAATGTTGAGGTGTCCCATCTGTGCAGCAGCGTGAACCGGTCTCATCCCGTCCCCAGCCTGGTGATGCACGTTTGCCCCACCTGTCACCAGGTGCTCCGCGCAGGACAGGTGTCCCTCCTGGATAGCAAAGTACACAGGTGTGGTGCCGTTGTCTGCTGGAGCATTCACTAGACTGGGGGGGGGGAGAAAGTTAACATGATTTATAAGACTGAAAAGTAAACAAAATTTCCTACTTCCAGAAAGTATGCCCATTCACCAAGCTGCAAAGTATAATTATCCATTCATGAATAAACTTTAAGATATCATTGAAAGTACAATGTATGAAGCATGCAGTGCCAAGACTTTCAAAGTGTATACATACTACATACATACATACATGAAAATCAAAGAATATAAAACATATGGCAAGTTTTACTTTCATCTATTCCCAATAACTAACATTTTATTCCCAATATGCTGAACATTCAGTGCAAGATAGGAAGCAGTTTATTAGTACATTAATTCAGTGAAGACATACCAGTATTTTGTAATGTTATAAGACGGTCTGCAACTAGATGTATTTCTTGGTCCATTGTCACAATTGCATGTGGTTAGCTAAAATAACTAGCATAGTACAGTTAAAAACCAGACCTTCTACATGTACATTGTACATCAGGAAACAACCTGCTAATCAAGTAAACATGGTCTTCGTTTAAGATTAATTACCCAACAAAAGCCTGGTTTCCAATACATCACACCTTTGGATAATTCACTTGTGTTGTACACCTTATTTTAACAGTGCCTCAGAGCAAACTGGAGCGAAAGTAAAGTAAACCAGGCTAGCAAAACAAAGATAGAAAACAAACAATCACTAATTGAATAGAACTGTAACAATGAGAGCATAAGGTACACCCTAAGTCCTATAGTATGTTGAGTAAGGTAATCTTGGGTTAACTTTTAGAACAGAGCTTTAGTCTTTTAAAGGCTGTGGTGCATGAAGCGGCCAGAAGGTGTTGGATAATGTTACTATATCCGGAAACAACGCATGGTAGCCCTGGCCAGTGTACATGTTCAGCCATCTTGCTTTGAAACTTACATGAGGAAGCTCATGTAGTAAAAATTACTTCCGCCAAAACTTCCAACCCTAGTACAGCTAGGAGACCGAAATTCTTTGTACAAATCGACCACGAACGTTTCAAGGAATTGTTACGTTTTTGTTCTTTTCTTTCAACGATTTTAGCATTAGGTATTTGATACTTTGTTTTGTCAAGGGTTTTGGGAGTGTAATGCTTTTGTCGACATTCCATTACTTTTTGTAAACACGGCAATGTTTTCCCAAATGGTTCAAGGCTGTCTTTGAGTTGACTTTCGTGCCATATAACAGCGTGTAGTGTTTTTTCCGTGTTATAACTGTTCCAGCCTTTGCCCTTTATAATGGCCCAGGCTAGTTGGGCAGCCATCCAGGCAAAAAGTATATAATTATGAAGTCACCGTGCTCCAGATTAATTCACTAGGGAACGGCAAAACGTCATGTGGTGGCAAATAACGGACCTACATAGATGCTTATTTCTCTTGGCATTTTAAAAATATATTCTTACTTTTTGATAAAATAAGTATGTCAGAGCGCCAGCTTTTCTTTCTTCGAATCCTAGCCCTTTCATGTAGTACTAGTAATCGAAGCAACGAATATTAAGTTACAAAGTCAACCTTCTATAATTAGATTTCAAGGGAAAATACACCACGAGTGTTTGCGGATAGCAGACTTACCTGGGCACATCAGCATTTAGTATCTTATACTTTCTAACTTGTGAATAATGAGTTTGATGTTCTGTTAATTAACACTTTGTGTACCAATAATCATAAAACCAACGCTAAATCGGGTCTTAATTGTAAGTAAATCTTACATATGTTTACGAATAGCGGACCTACCTGGGCGCTTGTTTCAGCAGTTATATTTCCTGAACACTCTTAATTTTGTAGACAGTAGATTATTACGAGTTTGATGTTCTGTTATTTAATGCTCTTTTGCAGCTTAAGTGCCAATAATCATTATAAGCCAAATTAGCTTAAATCAGACCTTAATTGTAAGTTAATTTTACAGATGTTTACGAACATAGCGGGCCTCCTACCTGGGTGCCTGTTTCAGCAGGTATTTCAGACACTCCACGTCGCCGTTCGCTGCGGCAAAGTGCAGAGCTGTAACACCGTGTCCCGCCGTGTCCTGCAGATCACAACCCTCAGTCACCAGCCACTGTAGCACCGGCAGGTGGCCGAACCGCGCCGCCAGGTGTAAAACGGTGGCCCCGCTGGTGTCTCTGTCCCGGACATTGCACCCGGAAAACTTCAGCAGCCACTGCAGGCAGGGCAGCTGGCCTGTCGCCGCCGCGTCGTGGGCAGGGGAAGCGCCGTTTTTAGCTTTTTTAGCGCTGCTAAGCCTCGCCGTTTGTACCAGGTATTTTAAGGAGGATAGTTGCCCTGTTCTTGCGGCGTGGTGGACGCAGGTAGCCCCGAACTCGTCCGCTACACCGTCGTGAAGAGCCCCGCTTAAGTGCAGCTGCTGTAGCGCCACTTCGTCTCCAGTTTTGGACGCTAACAGCGCTCTCTCTAGCGCCATTTTTCGCCTGGTTAGCCTAGGGATGGACACAGGACACAATGTAGCCAATTCCCCGTGAAGAAAGGTGTCATCACAAGTCCTTAAGGTCGCTACACTGTCATAGACGGCTTGATGTAGCAAACCGTGTCCCCTCAATGTGTGTGGAACGAAGATTGCTCGCGCTTGGGGACCTGTAACTCTATCCCTCATGAATATTAATGAGGTTAACAGGTGGTGCCTGTTTAAGGGCGCACCTTTGTTCTGCGCGGTTGGCTATGAGCAGGCAGGGATCAATAAATGGCTAACGCCCTGAGTCCACACACACGGCGCTAGCCTACGTAAAAGTCCTCTGTGGCCTTTTGATATTACACAGTGCTTTCTGATACAAGCAATAGCTATAATTGTTTTCTACAATTTATACCTGAAAATATTGGAGAAACGACAAGTTGGGCAAACCTTCAAGGTAATCTGTAATTTTGTAATATTGCACTTTCGTGTTGCTGTTTACCAACAATTGTGATGGCTAATATCAATTTTGCAA